GCCTATACCATCGCAGTCGTTGCTCCCTCATCCTTCAGCTGGACAGGGGCAGTCTGCATGACCGCTCTGACATCCTCGTTCCTGACCCTGTCCAGTCGCGTCCAGCCGCAGGCCCACCTCAGCATCCTCATCTCAGCGGAGTGAAGCTGCCTTTCGTGATTCTTGTTCAGGGGCCAGCACTCGCTGCCGTAGAGCATCGCAGGCCTTACCACTGTTCGGTACACCTTCCCTTTGAGCGCTCTGGAGCACCTTCGGTCGCAGAGGATTCCAGTGGACTCCCTCCATTTCATCCATGCCGCGTTGATCCTCCCCTAGCTTGCGGGCCCATTACTGCTGTCAACCGGCTAGAATCGCGTCCCGAGGTAAAAGGTAGCCCTCTACCCTTTCGATACCTACCGACGCTAACAAAACCTATCAATTTGAGCGGAACTAACACCGCTTATACAGGATACTACCGTAAGAACGAATGAAAAGTCGAATTTGTTCCCCTGGAGAAGGCATTCTATAGTCATCATTAAAATCTCTATCCTTCTGAAAAGCAAGAGAAGTCGGTTGCAATTAAGTCAAGATACACAACATACTCACTCGACTGAAAGAAAGTCAAGTAAATCAATCAATTCGATCTTTTATTGATTTTTTGAGAACATACAATCTGTAAACTCCTAATAAATAAAGCTAGCTAGCTAGTGTAGCCCTTATCATGAGATGATATGATTGCAACCAATTGTGAAAACTGAATATCCTAATGAGTCAACATTCCAGAATCACCACCGAGAACCCATTCGGGTCAAAGTGAGGAGTCATGTTAAATGAGAAAATCAGATCAATGCTTTCTAATGGTGGAACGCAAACAGAACAAAACAGTCTTACTGCAGGATTTTGGCCGGGTGTTGAAAAAAAAAAAAAAAAAAAAAATGCTTCCAAACAGTATCAAAATTACTGTCAGAGATTATTTGGTACGGATTCGAGATGAAGGTTCCCTTAGTGAAGACGGACGTCCAGTGCATAAATATCGGTCAACCGAAAATGGAACGTCTACGCATTCGAGGCGCATCGCCGAATTAATGGCTTCACTCGCTCCCTCCTGTACGCCTCGACGACCACCGCCCAATCGTACATGGTGGTCGTTGTGGTTCCAACGTCATAATGATCCGGTAATCTGGAAAATTTTAAACTCTGGTAGGGATCCTTGAAGAAATGCTGTGAAGCATGAAATGTTCACTCACCTGTACATTTTTCGCACCCGCTTCAGACGTTTCGTGTTTTCGTTGTATCGGCTAATATCCCTGCAATTAGTGACGTTTCAAAGGAGGGATCTCCGATAAGAACGAAAGTCCAAGAAGGGGAAACTGCAACTTCGGGAGCGGGCGGACCTTCCTGAGAGTGCTGAGCGACGCGCAAGTGGCAGTAAAAGATTTTGGCCTCAGTTATCTAGCATGGCTTATAGTTGGCGCAGTTGGCAGGGAATACGCCCACCAAACTAATTAGGTTGTCCCATAATTAGTGAATCACTTTGGGCATTTTTGAATTCGAATTTTTTTCTTTTTTAATCGAAGTTCTCACTCACCCAAGCATACACCTCTGTCATCTACAACGTATTGTCTATTCATGGGAATTTATTCGTTGTGTCTCCCCTGAAATTTCAGGAGCTCTTGATCGAAGAAAGACCGGAAGTCGGGGTCGAGGTCATGTTACTTTGCGCAAAATTTCATCCTGGGGAAGAGGGCTAGAGCTCATACTGGGTTGCCTTTAGTTGGCACGAGGTTAGAGCTACACGGCGGAGGTGGAAGTACTGTTAGCCTGGGAGTCTCCAACTTTTTATGAATATTCTCTGCAAGGTGGGGTCGAACGACCTCAGGAAAAAAGCAGACATTGTCTTGCTTTACTGTCAGTTCGAACGCGTCGCCATAACGCTATCGACATCGACATCTTCAGTGACCCTAGTATTACTGGGCGGCGGTTCCCAGCGCAAGGTCCATCTCGTGTTTCACGAATATCCAGGAAGTGTTGGACTTAGAGGAGGTTGGGCTTCTGCTGTCAGAACTCAAGAATCGTTCAAGATAGGCTACCGTTCCTTGTGGATTTGATAGCACACTCCACCCCAGTCCACAATCCCAGTGAGCATGCTGTATGATCATTGTAAGGAAGTAAGAGAGGACAGAAGGAACATGACGATGTCAGATCGTGTTTGAAGCTGATTCGGGCACAGAGCACGGGAGGAACAAATTTCATATTTTTAAATTTTAACGACTCTACAGAGTTGTCTACATTTCCCATCTTAAAGGAATCTTGCGCGGAAAATTCTTGCACTCTTTCCTAACATGAATATGTCAGTTGTGATCACTGGAAATAGCACACAAAGTTTCACGCATGAAGATTCGGTTTCTGAAGAGAAACAAACGTACAAAAACTACACGTTATGGACCATCGAAGGACCAGGAGGCAGAGCCAGGCGAGGCATGGAAAGAAGACGGCGTTTGGCCGGCTACGTACCAGGCGACGCAATGAGAGAATCGGGTTAAAGCGCGCGATTTCGGAGAGTGGAGACAAATCGATCGATGGAATAGGATGGAGTAGAAGTGTAAGATGTGAATGCAACGAAGCAGAAGGCCAGAAAGAGCTTCTAGTGAATGCACTCCAAGAACCAAGTTTGAGCATCCCCGTCGCCAGCATTCGTGAAAGACGTCCGTGGGCAATTCGAACGCGTAGCAGCCTTTTCGAGTTTTCGAATTTCTAATCAAAACGAAAGCAATACTTCAGTTCTTTTCACTATTATCGTGGATAATGAGTCTCAAGCCAGTGATTTATGGCTGAAATAGAATCATGATTTTTCCGCGCAAGATTCCTTTAACAAGTTAATATAACGCTTAGCAAACAGCGAATAGTTTGTTCAGTTCCATTCTTAGTGGCGCTGGCTAGGGCAGTGAGATTGCCAGTCGAAGGGTACCTGGAGTGTGGGTCATCTTCAAATAATAAATTCAACCCCGGAATAGAGTCAATCATAGGTGCACCGTGGATTGAGCGACCGTGCCCTAGCCTATCTGCTGGTTGATCCACAATGTTGTTTGGCGTTTGAAAGGTCCTAGTAAGAAGTGATGAAGAGGAAGCTCAAAAAATAGGTTTCAGAAAAATTGATGAAATAGCCATGTAACTGTAAAAGTGATTCACTAAATAATGGGACAACCTAATAGTATCTAATTACTCGCAGCAGGTCTATACTTGGCGACTGATTAGGTAACAGAGAGAGCGTAGTGTCGAGAGGGCACAGCAGATGAGAGTTGCATCACAGTGAGACTCACCTTGAGGCAATCAGAACGATGGCGTTCAGCTTTCGGTGGACCTCGATCTCAAGCCGCCAAAAGCACGTTGAACCGAGTTCAGCGTCACGCGACAGTCCCATACTCCAACTGAAGTCACTTCCGCGCAATTCGTTCGAATTTTTTCGTCTGCAAAAAGTTTCTAGGGTTGACTAACACATTGTCCACTCTTCAGAAGTGCGCATGCCATCCAAATTTTCCTCAGAGCCGCAATGATGTTTGAATGTGCATTCTTCTCATGAAGCAATTTGCGAAACTGAGAAGCTCATATGGATTCTCCATCCCACCAACAATAAGATGGTAATGAATGACATGCCCTGGAAAGTAGGAAAGTTAGGCCATAGGCTTGTAGAGGAGCCGTTAAGTTGCCAACACAAGTTGTACTCAGGAATGCTATGTAGGTTTTAACATGGTGAATCGATGCATCCCGATTACTGCACTCCGAGTTTTGAGGGCCCCATACACTTTCTTACAGTATTTATTTGAAGAAGTCATGATATAAATGGTTCTGCCAAGGTGATCTTCTCATGTCCAACACCAACGTTAGTAACCAGCCCTCGCTCTTTTTAGAGAATCAAAAGTATACCCCTATGTGGAAGAGAGTCATTAGCTCTCACCAGGAAGTCCCTTAATCTTTGCCTCAACAGGTCAACAAGTATCGAAGCTTACTTTTGAGTAATTTGATAACAACACACGGTGGCACATTCCAAAGACGTCACTCTACTAAGAATTGACGGGACTTCAACCGACGACACCCGCGCTCAGTACGCAAAACACTGACAGCTGTTCGTTTAGCGGTGGATGGGAGGTGGACGTCAGGACGTCAGTAGCAGTCATCGCACGCTTGTAAAGGTTGATGTGTACGATGAGGGTGTTGCAGGGTATGATAATGACTCTTAGTCAGGATCAATACGATCGAGTAATACGATTGCATAGGTGGATTTTTCCGATAGTTGAACTCCCAGCCGATACTTATTACGGTGAACGGTTCACGAGTGAACTCGGCCCATTTCCAGTGCAACCCACTCCATAACATTCCAACAAACTCACGGTGCCGTTCTTCTCTCCGGTGCCACCTTTGTTGAACGGCAAACAGACGAGGAACTTTTCTCTGGTGTAAGCTCCGTGAGCCATCCCTATAAGAGTACAAATTACAAATTCAATAGAAGAAAAGACACACGCAAAATTTTTAGCTAGCGTTCTGACGATAGCCATTTCGTATAGGAACAACACAGACGAGAACATCACCATCAAGTACAGAAGGCCATGACCACAATCAAAGGTGACGCCTCCTCGCACCAGTCGATCTGCCTCGCCTCATCGAAAGTCTAGAAGAGAAAAATCACATCTAGTGGTTGTATGGGGACGATTTTTGTGTTATGTGATCGGGCTTGTTTCAGTCAGAGAAAAAATGTTCAGCACGCTAGCAAAAGCACTAACTTCTCTGCTCGTAATAACGACTGACTGGTGAGAACCTTGACACCGTACGGCTCCTAAGCTAAAGCCCTTTTTTATATCGAAAGTAGGATTTTTCCCATTCTGTTTCTAGTGAAGAAGAAGGTCGTATAGATCTTTAATGCAAATTCTCATGTTGTTGAAAGAATGCGTGGTACTCCACTTTTCAAATCCCCAATACCTCACGCAGTATGAGAAGTTAGAAGAAGTTCAAAAGCAGGTGGTGGGTTTTGTTGACGAGAATGTTGTACTTTGGCTATCAAAGTGGAAGTAAGCAAAAAAGGCTACAGAGACGGGATGTGAGGTTAAACGCGTGCTCAAAACGATTTAAGAGACCTACGCGCTCATTTCATCCGCCCAAAGGTGCGCTCCACCTTGACCCAGCTACTAGCCATTATTCGTAAACATGCTAGTCCATGCGGCATAGAAGCAGAGCATGGCGACCACGCTATCGTTATCCGCTATCATACGAAAACAATCCAGCGCTGCCAAATAAAGGGGCAAAGAGGAGCTACTACTCAGTACTGTACACCGTTTCTTTAGTGTCTTTCTCACTGCCCTGCACAGGCGAAGCCCCTGGTTTCAAAAACGGGCGCAGGTTTCAAAAAAAGCGCACTCATTCTCTTGCAAAAGCGAAAGATGCGCAGAAGGAGGCAGAATTCAAGAGTCTTACAGAAAAGGCGACTCAAATGTTGCCGAAAAGGACGGGGAAAGACGCACTTCCTTTGTTAATAAGTATTTTTCATGTTTGCCGTGTTCCCAAAACAACAAAAACAACAACAAAAAAACAAAAAACAAACATTTATCTGCTATTTTCTTCTAAAGTATTCAGTAGCAGCACCAGACCTTCTCAGAGCGCAATCATTATGTTAGCTATGAGACGTCAATGAATTGACCGATCACCCTCGCCTATGTATTGAACAAAACTATTGTCATAAGACCTTGACCTTTTGTTATCAAGACTCGAATTTTAATATTGGAATTTCTTGCAATGTGTTAACATCGTCTCGTTAAGACGTAGCATGCCCGCTTGAGCGTCATCATCTGAAATCAATCAGTCAAGTACTATGTACAAAGCCGAATCCTTACTATAATATAAATTCGCGGCTAAGCGGTTGTGTGTGTGTGTGTGTGTGTCTGACCGGAAATTCATAACTTCACCCCTTTGGACCCAGAGCGCTCAAACTTCTAGGATATATAGGGGGCCGGAGGTGAACACTGATGACGGGGGTGGCGGGAAGTGATAACTACTGATAGGAGCTGATAACGGACGTCGAAATGTTGATGTCACCAATTTCGTTACGCCGTTCGCGTTGACAGTGGAGAGTTTGCACTCATGTATGATATGTGGGGTGAGGCGGGGACCAAGAAGTTGAGTGAACGAATGTGGTAGCAACTGATAAGAACTGATAAGGGGCGTCAAAGTGTGGATACCACCAGTTTCGTTGCGGCCCTTGCGGTTACATTGGAACCTTGGCTCTCACATGTGGTATAGGGGATGGGACGGGAACACGGATAGCGGATGATCAGAAGTGATAACAAGCGATAACGGTTGATAAGGAAGTTAGGATTTTGAGTACTGCTAATTTCGTTGCAGCCTTCGTGGTGACAGTAAATATTAGCTCCTACACGTTGCAGGTTGGGACCGGGACACCGATTGCGAACAGTATGAACTGATAACAAATGACAAGGAATGATAAGAGCGTTTGAATGCAGGTCTCTCCAACTTCGTTGCAATTATCACTGGCAAGCGATCAAGGTGGCGAGGGTTGAATGTAGGTGACAGAAAGTGGTATGAGCGGCAACTGTACTGATAAAAGTAGCGACAGTTGAGTGCACTCAATTGAACTAAACCAGGTCCCTAGCACGTGAATATGTTCCATTCCTACCCTTTCATCTAAAGAAGCAAAGAAAGTTGAGCTGCTCAACTTGGACCAATAGCGAATTTCCATTATATTTCCAATTTCCATCATAGCTCGGTTAGATGCTGATTGATTGGTTATATTTCACTTACACACCGATTCTTCAATTGTGGAAATTCTATAAACCGCTAAATCATCCGAGCTCGATATCAATGCTAAATGTTTACGAAGTCATGATAAGTACCATTTTCATTCCGCATGCTACTGCGCGCATTACGCTACAATCTTCAGCAAAATTGGACAGCCTTTGAAATTCATGTGACACATCTTCCAAACATCTTACTGTTAGTTTCTCAGCCACGTGACCTAATATTCAGCAAGTTGTCCAGTTTCACTAAAGCCCACCATGTGATGCGCGCGGTTGCGTGCGGAGCTAAACTGGTAAATAATATAAGCAAATTGTACTTTAATCCCTTCGGGGTCGCTGCAATC